AAATTACAAATGAGCAGCATTCACTGTCTCTCCATTTTTCCTTCATAAAGGGAGAGGAGAGAATATCATTGAAGCAGATCCTTGTGGGTTAATCTGCAGGCAGCTTCACCTGAGAAAAGGAAATCCTTATGTTCTAAGATGCAACGAACTTTGATTGCCATCACCATTATCACAATATGTTTTTTGTGCCTAAAATAAAAACTGAAAGCCAGGACAGTCAAATTTACCAGGAAATCCCAGCTATCTTCAGAAAAAGGCCCTGGCAGTGCAGTGTTTAGAATGTAGTATTGTAGGCAAATTCTGCCCACAGCTTGGAGTTTGATACTGGACTCAAGGTTAACTCAGCTTTCCATCCTTCCAAGGTCGGTAAAAGGAGGACTCAATGTCAGGTTCCAGCTGGAAAAACCCAATGAAGTAAAACATCGGAGACATGACGATCTCTAATGTAAACTTTATTAGGTATAACATGCCGGTACAATAGAAGGAAAGCTAGCTCTGGCAATATGGTGGGAAACAGATGATTTAAAGAGTGAAACGTTACCTCTCCCTTCAAGCTTAGGTCACATCGTCCAATAAATCTTCCATCAATTGTTATAAGAAGAAAACTTAGGTTCGCCAAAACATCTCTTCGGCTGCTTTGGATCTCACACCGATGGGGAACTCCCAAGCTCTTCCCTTCCCCTGCGCAACTATAGGCAAGCTAGAAGTACTATAGCAGTCCTAATGACAAACAATGGTTTCGTAGCTTGACATCCAGAATGTTAGGGGCAATATGGTGATATTGTAAACCACCAGAGAATGCTGTAAAGCAGTATGCGGTGGTACATAAATCTAAGTGCTATTGTTATGTTATTTTTAGATCTAACTGACTTTTGGCCAATTTGTCAAGGCAACTCCGCACAGAATATATCTAAACAAGACACAACTAAGATTAGGTGTAGAATCTTCAAGATTGGTTGAAGTGATTGAAATAATTTATTTCCAGACTATGGGGCAGGGTAACAAAAAGTGAACCCCCTCCCAACAGCATCCCCCAGAAAAATGTGCACATTTTTCATTTTTTGACAAATTTAGCAGACAAAATGTTGATGCATAAGGCACCAGTTTCATCAGTTAAAATTCTTGAAACCACCTTCTAAACCAGGTCTTGGTTTTACTCATTTCTGGAGTACTTCCACATCACAAAAAATCCAATACAGCCCCTGAGCCAACAGAAACTTATATTCCTGTGGAATAAGAGCGGTACAAATGGTATTATAGAAAACTCAAAGGTGCTTTTTCCAAAAGGCAACTGGACTTTCTTGATTTTTAATTTGAAAACATTTTGCTTCTCATCCCAGAAGATTTTTGGATGAATAAGTAAAATGTTTTCAAAGAAAAAAACCAAGTAAGTCCATTTGCCTTTTGGAAAAAACATCTTTGAGACAACCATGATCTGGATGACTGAGAATCTCCACAGATATTACAGGGAGATGAATGAAGTATTATTCTACCCAGCAACATATGTGTAAAAGCAGAGAAGAGTATCAAGCCCAGCTAATAACAGCAGGAGTTTCATTTTTCACTTAAATTGTATCTTAACCAAAATCAACAAGTGAAGCTTTGTAAAATTTGGAAATGTTCATTTAGACCTTAGGTAGAATTAAACTTTCTCCAAGGCATTATGGATCTTTTAGCCACTATATCCAGAGGGCACCTGATTGGGGAAGTTTGAATTAGAGGTCAACATCTTTCTATAACCTCTAAGCACTGAGGTTGCTAATGAAATATTTTCATATTTTCAAGCAGATTAATTTTGGCTGGTAATAGATGTTTGTAAGCTGTTCTTACAGATATTTTATGCGAACCAAGGATGTATGTATCATCATTGCTGGAGTAGTGGCTACTAGATGTATTATGAACCCATGTCCTTTCTAATTTGTGAAAACTGTTGGAGTGGAGCTAATGTGCTGGACCTTAGATATTGCTAACAAAGATGCTCTTCCAGCTGTATTCTTATCCTTATTCTTATTATTAAAATTATTATTAAAATTATTCATTAAATCTTCCAAAATGATGTAATTTCCAGCTAGGTTTGAGCAGTCTATTATTTGTGCAAGATGACTAAGCCCCCTGTTTGAAACTGAAACTGTCATGATGACCTAAGACAAAAGAATAATTTCCAGGCAAGCAATCTAATCATACCATATAAATTAATAGGAACTATAGCTGCTCATAACATCAAACAGGAATCTTGTTGGAATTATGTTCTACTGTCAGCTGCCTCTGGTCTGAATTTTAAATAGAATACAGCATACAATTTTTCAGATTTACATCAGCTTGTTGCAATTTAGGAAAATTAAATTAATATTGAATTTAGTCCAAAGCAAGTTGCAATCTTCAAGTTTTAAATCCTTCCAAAATGCAATTTGCATCTCCCCAGAGAACTCCACAACACAGTCCTTTCAGTAGTTACAAGAAGGCTCCACACCTATTTGTACTACTCAGATGACCCTGAGGAAACAGATAAACCTCCAAGTGGCTCAATGACTGTCTAAAAGAATGCAAATGACCATCTGTCTCCCAGGAATATAAATCCTGCTATTTCCCACCATCCAGTCAGAGCTGAAGAAGCTTCTTGGATGAAAAAAAAGTCCAGCTGCCTCCTGAAAAAGCATCTTTGGGACAACCATGACCTGGATAACTGAGAATCTCCATAGACATCTCCTTAGAGAACAACCAATCCAAATTTTATCAGAATAAAAACCTGTTACCTCCATTATTTTGTCCTAGAAGCAAAGTGCTTCCTAAGTATTCCATAAATAAAGCAGATGAGACTAGGATTTACATTTTTTTTTGAAAAATATTTTTTACAGTACATACAAAAATACTCTGCATACACTTTTTTGTTTCAATTATAATTTTTTACAAAAGCAGATATTACAAAATTTAAGATTTGAAAATAGTATTTACTTCTGGCATATCAGGTCATAAGCTCTGAAGGAAATATGGGCCTGGAAGAGTCAAGTGATCTTCTAGGGGGTGACATTGATTCTAGTGAAGTTGTTCAGAAAACTACAGAATTCAAACTTGAGTAAAACTCATGATTCTTCCCCAACATTACTAATCCCAGTTCACAGAAGATTAAAGAGCACTCATTCACAAGGCGGGCCAAAATAGGCAATATAATTTTCAGAACTTTCAACATGAAAGAGAAAATGGATTCTATTTTAAGTTATGGTTTTTACAAGACCCTCTAACAATTCTGAAATTCAAGTAATAAACTACTTTGCTTGCATTCCAGTATTGTTGAAGATATGAGTCTCTTTATGTTTTTATTTATAGATTAGCATACAATCCAGCTAAACACTGAAGTATATTTCATTCCCATTGGTTTGAAATTGAAGTGTTGGATGTGTAGAGAGAAGCATCAAAGTTAAATTTATATTTCACTATTTTAGGGCTTTAATGCAACTGAACAATGACTGAAATTGTGCTCTAGTTTTCCTTTTGTGAGTCTCCAGGGGAAGCAGCTTTTTTGCGGACATCTACGTATATCCCAAATGGATTGTTTTTTTTAAAGGAGAAGCACCTCCAATATATACACACGTACTCCTGTGCATTATTCCACTTTACAAGAACTCCTATGGCAACCTGCTATGCAGATCACCAGCCAGCATTGCATACCACCAGACTGGATGTGGATTTTCGGGTTAAAACAACAGTGTTTAAGAATATATTTAAGAGAGAGCTTCAGACTACCTGCACCCCTGTACTATAATAACACTGATAACAATAGAAATACACCAGGGCGAAGTACTCTGCATGCCAACCCCTTTAGGAAAAATAAAGGCGAGAATTTTTTTTTTGGTTTTTCATAACAAAGACATTTCTGCTGAAAGAAGAATACAAGACTTAAAATAAAGCTACGCATTTGCACAGTGAAAATAAAGGTCCAATCCAAGGGAATAAACCTTACACTATAAGAATACCCACATACCACACATTTTGGAAGAATAGTAGTTTGAAATTTTTACAACAATTATGACAGTGTATCACCTGCAGAGACAAATCTACAGAAGATAAAGCCATTTTAAACAAGGATGGATACAATGCATAATGCCAACATTGGTCCACTTAGCACTGCCTTGACACCAGCTTGGATCAGTTATCCAGGAAGTCGGGCGGATGAGTTTCCCAGCTCTGATATGAGCTGACACAGACCGATATGCAAATCATAGGCTGTACCCTTTAGATGCAGTCTCTGTCTTCATTCTTTGCGTGTTGCTTTCTATTTCAATAGTATGGATACAGCAACTTTAGGATGCCTTTTAACACAAGAATATCTTATAGTACCGTTAATGAAAATCTTTTTTTCTTTTGAGTCAATATTTCAAAATTATGCATTTTAAACAGATACGTATTATTTTCTTTTAAATTATAAGGTTTGCATATTGTTAGATTTATGCGCAAAAAGAGGACAAGAATACATTTGTTGATCATTGTTGCTACAATTTCATTTCCTAATTTAGCGCCTTCCAGGACACCGTTTAGAAATTTTGGGAATTATTGTCTCTACACATTTGGTGAATACTAAGTGAGACATCTGATTTAAAGAAATTATGTTCCATACTTTAACAACTGTGCTGGGTATCTATAAACATTTCAATTATAATCAGGATTCCACTCAGTACAGCACAGTGTAGCTGGAATTTTGCATACAGGATAAAATTTCTTCTTTCTCACCCAACCACATCAATCTTTGTAGATGAGTTGGAAAAAAATCAAATGAGCCCTACAAGACAAAAAGGGGAACTAATTCTAGTACTAGATAATTGTTCTGATAGAAAGCTGGAGTGAATCAGGGCACCTTTTCTGTGAGTTAAAAAAAAGTTTATAAGTGGTTGTAGGGATGTCAAAGTTCAAAAGAGAAGCTTGAGCATAAGGGTAACAACTGAAATAAAGAAGTAAGCAATAGTAATTAAAACACAATGTATTTACTATTACCTGGTAAGGCACTGCTATCGATTAAGAGTTAGTCTGATGGAGTTTTTAACAACACGAACCATACTACTTGCTGGAATTGGAGAAGATGAATCTGGCAATTCTTTACTAGAAAGCCTCTGCAAATGAAAACTAAAATCAGATGAGGGAAGCAAGATTCCAGAGATATGAGTACAAACTTAGATCAAAGCAACATCTGACATCAATCCTACTGCTAAGAGATGTGTCATCTCCAGCTGTTCAGCTTTTGTTACTGCTACTGAAAGGAGATGTTGAGCTAAAGCACGGGTGTCAAACTGCCGGCCCGCGGGCCGGTTTCATCATACCAGAGCTGCGCCCACCCCATTGCCGGCAATGGCGAAAAAGCTCCGATACGTCGCGCGATGTCATGTGACATTGCGAGTTTGACATGCCTGAGCTAAAGCTTTTAACTTATAAACCAGTCTGGGAGTCTTTGCAGATGGGTGGCAACCCCTAAAAATTAGAATAATGTACAAATTATTCTGAATACTTCAGATTTGATAAAATAAAGCACATGAGCTGTGAGCTACCTGCTGCAGCTTCATAATCCTGAGATCAGACACGGCTGTTTTAGTAACTCAGAGACAGATGCTGTGTACCCCAAAACACTTCTTCTCACTCAAATCTAAGTTACTGCACAGTTCTGTTATATGTAGTGTCATTTCAGTGAGAGCAAATTACAAAGCATATAGGTGTATTACAGAACATAAAAATAAAATGAAAGCCACATAAATATTAAGGTCTTCAGACATCAGTTATTATCTCCATATTTGTTCCAAATACAAATGTTCACTTAATACCTGTGATCTTTGTGTATCAAAGGTTGGAAGAGTCAGGGTGTCTTTAAGGTTATGCTAAAAGGAAGAAAAACATAAGTTCATGGCCAAAATGCAAGGATTAGTGGGCCACAGGAAGCAGATACAAGCCATACTGACATCACATACATCATGATGTCATTGCACAAATGATGTCATGAATTGCAACATTTAATTTATTTCACCATTTACTCTGACAAAGTAATGTAGTGTTTCCCTTACTTCCCATCTCTTTTTTTTTTTTTTCAATATAAAATTTTATTGTTTTTATCATAAAAGAAAAAAGAAATACATCACAGATATTACACAATGTTTTATCCCATCCCCCCACCCCCCGGACTTCCCAAACCTTTGGATCCGTTATAAGTTTATGTTCATTTGTTTATAATTATAGAGATTGAGGTTTCAGATTTGAATTTGTTAGGTAGAGGACCGTGTTAATAAAAATTATTCATTTAATTAGTTCTTCAAATACCCCAAATCTTTACCATTTCAGCAAGATAGTTTAACAGCATCCCTTACTTATACAAAAAAAGAAAAGAAAAAAAAGTTTCCATCTTCCATAAAGTTAACAAGTTAATTCTGTCATTTCATGAAGCTACACCTATAAAAAATCATTTAAAACCCTTAATAAGGTTTACAACTTCAGTTACTTAATTATCATTCAATTATTTTCAATTATTACAACATTATTATATTTATAGTAATCTTCCTTTTAATAAAAATTATTCATTTAATTAATTCTTCAGATACCCAAAATCTTTACCATTTCAGCAATAAAAAAAAAAAAAGAAAAAATTCCCACTTCCATAAAGTTAAGAAGTAAATTCTATCATTTCATCAACTACACCTATGAGAAATCATTTTAATCCCTTAATAAGGTTTACAACTTCAATTACTTAGTTATCATTCAATTATTTAAACATTAACAATAAATCCACCTCCTTCAACCATTATTAAATCAGAAAAAAAAAAGGAACCTTTAGGACCTTAGTTCCCATCCATTCATAATTAAGTCAAACAAATTCAATTATTACAACATTATCATAATTATAATAATCTTCCTTCGTCATTAAATCAAAAAAAAAAAAAACCTTTAAGACATTTAGGACCTTAATTCCCATCCATTCATAGTTAAATCAAACAAATTCAATTGTTACAACATAATCATATTTATAATAGTCTTCCTAGTAAGGTTTACAACTTCAGTTACTTAGTTATCATTCAATTATTTATCAAATATACCATTAAGAATAAGTCCACCTCCTTCAACCATTATTAAGTCAAAAAAAGAAAAAAGAGAGAGAGAAAAAAAAGAGAACCTTTAGGACCTTAATTCCCACCCATTTAATTAAGTCAAACAAATTCAATTATTACAACATTATCATAATTATACTTCCTTCATCATTAAATCAGAAAAAAACCTTTAAGACATTTTTAACCCATCCAATAACATTTAATGTCATATTTATATCTAACTCTGGGTTTCTTTCTAAACCAAGTTAAT